GAGTAAGAAACAAGAGGCTGCTCTTCCTGCCCAGGATCAGAGCCCGTTTCTGGAGGCTTGCTCTGAAGTACAACAAACTTCCCACAGACTTCACTGGATTTTGGAAAAGGCTCTAAGCACTAATACTGACTCTTTTATTCCTAAAACCTCGGCTCATTCAAGAATTTCCCAGGGAATTTGGCCTTTAGGGATTGCAGAATTTTGCTCTGTTTCCTTCTTCATACATGTGGAAAAGCTCCAGAGTTCTCTTCAGGCTCAGATGCAAGTGAGATGGGGGAAAGGACCATTTTAGAGCTCTGCATTTTCACTACCCAAGCTTGTGCTCTCCACAATCACAGCTTTGCTGACAAGCCACCAGGCCTCAGAAGATTAAAAAGGACAGGTTCTGTCTCACTCCACATCTCAATGTTTTATCCACCCCAGTTTCCCTCATGTGCCAACCAAAGATTGCTCCTTCTTGCCATGTGAAGATGAGCACGGGCAGACCGCCCATGTCGCTGTGCCACCACCACTGTTTTTGCCTTCAAGGTCTGAGCAACATTTCTACTGATTCACCGAACCCCCGCAGACTGGACTATTCTTAGAGTTGATTTCCTTCCATCTACTACATCCCACCATCCCGAGTGAACATCATCTTTAATTTACCTTCAGTTGAGGCTGCATGGGGGCAGCTTTTCTCAGGGACTAGGGGTGCTACTCCTGGCCATTGCAAGCTGTGAAGCTTCATCTGTCATCACTGTCATGTTACTCCACAGTGTTAAAGGCTCTGGACCAGATCTGTGTTTGCAATCTCCCGTATTCCCTTTACATCACTTTTCCAGGTGATCACAGACCTACTCACTGTGGTGTCTCTCCTCCTTGAGATAACAGCAGCAGGAGGTGCCACAGCCTGGCTCTCCCTTTGCAATTCATGAGCTGGCTTTCACAACTCTGCTGCAATCACGGAAAATATGCTAACATTCTATTGACCCTATCACCTTTTAATCCATTCTGTCCAACAGCAAAGTTGTATTTCATAAATCAAAAGCAAGAGGATAATTTTTTTTTACTAAATACTTCCTTCCCTTTGATAAAAGCACTGGCAGATTCATAAGCCTCCTCTGTTGACCTGACTATAAAGGAGAAGCAGTCCTAGTTACGTTTTTCTGACTGAATTTGCATTGCCAGTGTATGCAGATCTCAGGAACTTCTTAAGAGATTCTCCTAAATAAGATGAGGGTTTGGGAATTAAGCCATAATATTATAATTTCCTCTCTCCCTGTCTCAGATTTCATAACCTCAGCAGCAAAGCTGGGATTACAGCTTGAGCTCAGGATGTGGTACCAGACATCTGACAGCGTGTCTTCTTGGACAGATCAGATTTTAGTATCAAGGGATTTCTCTGGGGCCTGCAGCCTTTTCTGTAGGAAAGCGTGACACATTATGCACGTCCTTTACTTGCCATAACACTGTGCAGCAAATAAACCTGTCTTCCTGACAGTCTCTTATCACTTAGGTATCCCATTGTTCAAAGAAGGTTAAGATTGGACACTTGGAGCTTTGACCACGTGGGAGAAGGGAAGACAAAATAGCCTCAAACTCAGACAAATTCTTGATGTCAAAAGAGTATTTTCTTATGCTCAGTACACAAAAGAATGATGGCAGAAAACAAGGAGGGTCCTTCTTTCTGCAACAGCCCTTCTTTTCATCCCTTTAAGCAGGACAGGCAGAAGCTCAGGCTGGTCAATGCTGGTTCACCCCCCCACAGTGACATTGCACAGGTAGTGACCTCCACCTAGAAAAAATCTCCTGGAGAGTATTTATTTGCTACCTATAGAGAATCCTCAGACCCTGCTCCTGCAAGCTCCTACCACATCATTTCTGCTTGGCCCCACAGACACTGCAGTACAGCAGAAGGAATTTGATTTTCCAGTGCACAGTGCAAAGTAAGGAGGCCAAAAAACATCTGAAAGCTTCTGCATATGGCATTTTGAACAAATGCCATAGTTTTTCAATCATTTTTTGAACAACACCTGAAAAATGAATCAGAAAGTAAACACGTTGCAATACGCATTTCATCTCAAGGACTATTTTATAGGAATTTCTTTAAGTATCTTTCTGGTTTGCAAATCACTCTTTATATCTAACTGTACACCTATGTACACCTGCACAAACATGTCTGGGTCTGTTTCTACAGTCCCTACACAAATAAAATACCCATCCACTTGAATGGGAGTTCTTTTCAAATAAATGTGTCAAGATTGGGCCTTTGGTGCATACGTGCGAGTATTCTGCACACACATTTTAAAATCTTTAAAAAAATATAGTAGCTATAGATTTATAACTGATCAAAATTTAAACACAATAAAACTGCACTTATTACAGTATAGCCTAGGTGAATTTACATTGCTCATTTCTATGAAGCAAACAAAGGAAAGGAAATCTCTGTGACCCTGAAATTACAGGTTGACTGTAATTACAGTTTTGCTTATACTTTTGTCTGTCCAAAAATTCCAAAAGGATTTTTGCAATTCAGAAGAGGGATATGCACCATTTCTTTCCAATATATGGATGCTTCTCAAGTGCTTTCCCATCTTTTTTGAAGTATCTTTTGCAACATATCAGACTCCTTTCGGTTGATTGTGTTCACTTCAATCACCATAGTAAAGAAAAATCCCTTACTAAAGAAGGAAACCTTAGCAAAGCAGCAGCAGCAAAGCAATACTGAAGTCACTACTAGTCCCATACTCAGGCAGAATAAGGAGTAAGGGCTCTAGATACCAGCTGCAAGGTCATTCCTATTACCATAAAGCTTAATGCACAGCAAGATGGCCAACCCTTGGGGTCACATTGCTCTCTAAATAGCACTTTCATTATAGCACTTCATTATCAAAGCCCTTTGCACATAAATTTACAAAACACAGCAAAGACAAAGATCTCTTTTGCATATTAAATCAAGGAAACCATTTCATCTACAAGTTCATTCTTAGTGTGCTGCATATTTCACAGCTAGCCGATACAACGTGGTGCTCACTAACACACGCTTGTAACTCTAAGACCAAAAGCACAACACAAATACATAAAGCTTAAGCACAGGTCTTTCACCTACCCCTAGTTGGTATTTCCCAAGTGAGCTCTGGCACCTTTATCAAGGATATGGGTTGTTTTTAAAATAATCAGACCTCTGGAGTCTAATGTAAATTTAAGGAAATACTCCCTCACACACCTTCCAGGTCACTGCTGGACAGGAGGGACTTTTGAAATGGTGACCATTGTGCTTCACTTCCGTTCTGATCATTTTATCTGGAGTGTGAGCAACTTTCACACCTCTCAGTATAGCACAGAGGCATTTAAAAGAAACTTTGTGCATTCATGCATTATAAAATCAAAATGCAAGTCCAGATTTGGACTTAAACCTTCACTCCCTTCCCCCAGAAAAAAGTATCCCTCATACAGAACTAGCTCTTTAAAATCCAAAGCCTTGATGAAAGATCTTGTAACCTAAGTAAGACAAGACAAGGGACCGGACAACAGCCCAAGTGCTTTAGATTAAGAATTTACATGAGGAAACTCTGTTCATTTAACTATGCCAGCACAACTGAAACAGAAAACCTCACCCTCCTGCCTATGCAGTCATACCAATATGACAGGGCATGTACCAGTAGCCTACTACACCATGATTCAGCAGACAAAATAAACCCCAGCAATATGTGGCATCTTTCTGCATCAGGATTTTGCCATTTTAACTGTATCAGGTGAAAAATTAAGCTTGGCATAACTGACAGAGTCACATTGATAACTTTTTTAAGAATACATTAGCCCTTTTACTATCCTAGTAACATTCTCAACATACAAAAATGCCACTCCAAGACATCTGACATCTTGAGATGCATAATTTTAAAATAAGCATCATAATCCAAGCCACAAAGTATCTTCACTGTGTCTTAACTTCGTTTCCTGCCAGTACTTATCACAGATACCCGTAAGTATTTAACTCGACCCACACAACAGTGAATCAACATTCAGATACTCTTACAAAGTCTTTCATAAAAATCAAAGAGGAAATGTTTTTATATATCTTATGCTGTGATATTTGAACCAAAAAATAAACTCAGAAAATATAATTACAGTAATCTCCTTGCTATTCAGCCTGAGCAAAGCTTGCAGAAGTGTGAAGGAGCATGTTTCTTCAGCAAGGACTCCAATCTGAAGCTGAGATGGTCACTGTAGGAAAAAGCACACATAACGCTCATGCTTTAGCTAGAAGGAAAGCATTGCAGACAATGGGAAAGAACACATGATCAATAGAGGAGACCAGAAATATAAGACACGAGAAGGAAGAAGAAAGAAACTCTAAAAGCATTGCACACCATGATCAACACAGTTAACTGTTGCTGTGAATGGGAGTTTAAAATTATCTTCTATCCTGGCTGAAAAACTTCATAAAGTGATCTTGTTTATTCCTATCACATCTATCTGCTATTTTTCACCAATACATTGTGACATTACAGAACAAAAACCTCAAGTTATATACTTTCCCCTAGAACGATAATGCTAAAGAGTATTTTCAAAAACCCAAATGCCAGAGAACAGTGCTTTCAATAAATTCTGGCAACACCCGAAGGTACTCAGTTCAAAAACCTATGTAAAGTCATAGTCTAGGCTAAAATTCTCCATCACTGATTCTCCTCAAAAGTTTGGTGCTTTTCTTCTTAGTGAAATGATAACTACATTAATGTGCTCTGTTTATCCCTAAATCTATTGGAAATGTGCTTCTTATCTGACTTGCTTTCCAGGACAGTGTATCCCCTGGGATGGAGTTTTCCTTCTCCTACACTGTTATGGACCCAACTCTACTAGCAGGAAAGATGCTGGTATACTGGATCCTATGGGATGCAATGCCTTGAAGAAATTTATATCAAACAATTATTGCATAATCTCAGGATGTAATAAAACTTCCTACATCATACGCAGGCATGAGTTCCTGTTACACTTTTGTATCACAGGAAGAAGCGTGCCTGTCAACAGCAGCTACAGGTTCCTGTATGAACCCGTAGGATCCCCTTGCTGTGCATGTGGAGGAAGTTGAAGATTTCTGAGGGCATGGCATGAAAACCAGGGCGAGGTTTCACATTGTCATAGTAGTGGTGAGTTATAAAAATCCCTGAGGGGTTCATGGGGAAGGCCCAAAAGCCAAAAAGGTGGACCTCTTCACAGAGCTCCAGGGCAGCAGTCACCAGGATCAATCCAGTGCTAATCCGCTTGGCCCGCACCCCTTGGCCAAGCCAGTAGCGTGAGACATTGATGAGATATTGGGGATGAAAGTAATAAACAGCTTGCTGCGATTCAAAATCATCCAGGACATATTTGACTCGGATTGAGACATCTGTGTTGCGAGTGTTGTAGAAAGCTGGCAGCAGCACGGAAGCGTTCTCGTAGACCTGGAGCACATCATAGAAGGGTTTCCTCCATTTCTCCAGCTTATGAAATCTAAAGGGAAAAGGATGCAAATGTTGGTCAGACCAGCGTGGACTCAGTTTGGACCCAGCATATAAGAAACCTCTAATGGGCTTTTACTGAAACCAGAGAGAACTGAAATGATGTTTCAGTTAACAAGGGGAATATATTTAGATTTGTAGCTAAAGAACCAGCGCTAAATGTAGGGCAAAAAGGCAGGGGATTAAAAAACCCACATACTCTCCTCTCTTTTGATAATATTCTCATTAAACTGTGGAAAAACTTGGTAGACATTTCTGATATTGTCTTAATTTGTATTTTATTGTAAGTAGTATGTAATTTTTCCAAGATTTGTTCAGCTGTATAGCGCATTATGCAGAGCAGAACTGTATAAAAAAGTTTCAGATACCAAAGCAGAGCAAATTTCTAACTGTAACATTTAAAAGAAATCCAAAATGCAAGCAAATGATTTTAAGTTGCTTGAGAAAACAAACACATTCCCCTTAGCAAGAAAGGAAAGCAGTACTTAGCCCCATGGTCCCAAATCTGTCAGCAAGCTGGCATTAAGTTATTAACAGATTTAAAATTAAAATCACTTAGTCAATCCTGGCTACAAAGTTTAACCAATATTTCTTTAAAAACATATGACAACGTGTTATTTTATTTATACACTTAGGGTTGGATCCAGTTGCTTCCACCCTAAATGTTTCTGAGACATTTGCCTGGGGCTTGCAAGTACAGCACAAGATTTCCAGGGGAAGGATGGCTTTGTTGTTATAATTCTAGCTCATCAGCCTCCCACTTTCTATCACCAATGTGCAGGTGTAAGTGTTTAATGCATTTCTATAAGTTATTACAGATTTCATATACTGAATAACTTAAATTCAGAATGAAACGTATGATTCATAGTGTTAGTTTAATATCTGGGAAAAAAAAATCTCTGTAACTGGTAGAATTAAGTGGAAAGTAGATCTGGAAAAGCAATAGAGATGAAAATACAAAAAACAGAAATTACCTCTCAGTAATTATACTGGGATTGACAGTCACAACATCCGTCTTTACGCCAACATCTGTGAAGTATTTCTCAGATATAGGAGGCAAATTGCATCTAAAAAGGAAATAAATTATCAAGAAAGTTAATTCCCAGCATCTTTTCAGAACTAGACAGTAGAACTGATTTAAACATTTCTTCCGAGCAACAAATCTAAAAATAGACTGAGAACTTAAAATTGTATCAAACATGTTGATGCCCAAACTGTGCATTAAAGTAACAACTTCTCAGGGGCTGTATGAAGACCTTTCTTCTTGCCCAAATCTGTCAGAACTGACCCCTTTTTGCAGATGTAGTCAATACTCACCCATTTTGCTTCCATAATAGCAGCTCAGCTATTTACTTTGTCAGTTTAGGATGAGAAATGGGATGAAGCCCCAGGGACAATCAGCCTATAAAATCATACTTCCTCAGTAAGGGTTGAGCTGTATTCAATAATTAATAGATAAACTACATCTATAACGTTGCCTTTAACATGCTTTGTTTTATACCCAAGAGAATTCAGGGGAAATGCTTCACAAGAGACAAATCAGTCCAGTCCTAATTAATCAAAAATTACCTGCTTCCCTTTATACGTATCTCCCAGCACAGTGTAAAAGCAGCAATTCTGACTCTACAGATTCACCAGAGGATGTCAAAGCTATTAGAGGCAAACTTGTGAAGATCTGCAAACTTTGACTTTGCCCAGCTTCTACTCACCTTGGTCTTGACCTAGATTCATCATCTCAAAAAATTTAGAGCATCCCTCAAGAGATGCTGAAGTAACTGAAACACACATACACACAAGCTATCACACAGCCTTTGCTTCCATAGGAAACCCAGGTAAAATTCCCAAACATCTCAATTTCTAAAGATCAGGGCTGAATAGGAAAAAACTGAAAGTAATTACAGTAAGTGATGCTCAGTGTTTTCACAATACTAGAGTTCAGCTGCCATCATAATTTCTCAGTCACAGGGAGTGAGGGAGCAGAGGAACACACAAAAATGCTTCAAAATCCTTCTCAGACTCAGGAGGTTCACATCTACTTTCCAGGGAGTCCTGCTTTGTCAGGTCAGAGAGTTTTTTTTAGCTACCTTATCCTTCTCAGAGGCAATGTTATTTCCAGCACTTTTCACTGCTAGGTCACGCAACATCCTTCTGAAGTCCTCTAGCATCCTCAGTTCCACCTTGCACCGGGCACTGTGCTCATTAGATTATATTTGAAAAAGGTTTTCAAATACTCAGCTTCAATATTTTTGAACAGTAAACTCCCACCAGGATTAAGAAAGACTGAATTTGTTGAAAGTGGCAATTCCTTACAACAATGATACAATCTGCATAAACTTTTGTCGTTAAGACTCCAAAAATTAATCCCTGCAAAGAGAGTAGTCCCATCTCTAAATGCACCCAATGTTTCATCACAGATCTCTACACTGGCCAGTAGATGGAGATAGACAATAACAACTAGTAAATGCAATTCATGTGTGTGTGTGTTTTATATATTCTATTGTACTATAATTAATTGCTATCAGAGTTTATTTCATAGAAAAATCTCGGTTGCATCCTGTTGGCCACAAGCTTCCTGACAATAAAAGATTTTCTCAGGGGTCCTGAAAGTGTAACTGAATGTTAGCAGTGCTCCATAAGCAGTTTTTGAAATATTTTGAAGAATTGTTCTGTTGGTGACCAAGATGGGGATTCCTGATGGTTTGGTGCATTGGTGTCAGGCTGGAAAGTGGATGTGTTCAGACCTGACCTTAAACACAAGATTTACTTTAAAATTTATGTCAGGAAACCTTAAGTAGACCTCTTAAACACTAACATGTCTTTGTGCATAATGCTGGTCCTGCATGTTTTGGAGGTGGTGAACTAGGGGGGTTTTAGCTGAAGTACTGAGGTACTTATTCATATTTCAGTTCTACTTAAGCCATTACTTAATTAATTAATGGTAACAAAAGCAATTTCTAAGTTCTGTACTGATCTGATCTGTTCTTTCTAAGCAATTGCGGTACAGTTCAAGAGAGAGCAACAGTAATAAAGAGGGACCTCCACTGAAAGTTCTTATACATAAATGATGACGTTTGCTGTCTGTATTTCCATTTCCACTCAACAGCTTGTCATCTCTATGTGTAACATGTATTCCTCCTTTCAACCACACCAATAGCTGTGATCCAACACAATAGAAGGGAATCTACAGTAACTATTTAATGTATAGGGGATACACTAAGCTTTTAAGAAGTAAATTATGTGAAGCCTAGACTGTTTCACAGATTAAAAATAAGACAATAGTTTTATATAAAGTGGGCACAAGAGGCAGAGACAAGGATCTGAAAAAAAATAATAGTGAAGGTAGGACCATTAAAATCTTATTTCTCATTTAATGCCAAATTAAATTAAGAGTGCAATGAGCAAAAATATGACCTAATTAGAGAAATTCATTGATTTATGCACAGTTATTCTAAAATTATAGGGATGTACTTAAGATCAGAAAATAGGCCAACAGAAGTAAAAGGATTATTCTTTTCTACAGAGCAGGTCATGAATCTCTGAGCTAGCTGTCGTATGCCATGACCTGGGAAAAGAGCTTAACAGAATTTAGAGAGGGATTAGTCATGCATATGAATAGTTGTGGTGGGTTGACCCTGGCTGGACATCAGGTGTCTCTGAAGACATTCTATCACTTCTCAACTCAGCTGGACAGGGAAGAGAAAACACATTGACAGACTTGTGGGTCAAGATAAGGAAAGGGAGATCACTCTGCAATTACTGCCATGGGCAAAACAGACTCAACTTGGGGAAAATTAATTTATTTTATTACTAATCAAATCAGAGTAGAATAATGAGAAATAAAAACTAAATCTTAAAACATCCTCCCCCCACTTCTCCCTTCTTCCCAGGCTTGACTTTACTCTGGAATTCTCTACCTCCTCCCCACTAGTGACACAGGGGGATGGGGAATGGGGGTTGGGGTC